TTTTGGAACAATGTTTGGAACAACTAGAACAATCTATTGCGGTATCAGAATGTTCGATTTTCAAAAAGTGGGGTGCCAGCTCAAAAAATTATTTTTTTTGTTTTATTCGAAAACCGTTTTGAATGAAGCAATATCACTTTGGAACAATGTGGTACAATGTCAGAACAATCTGGAACAACTTTCAAAATTATAAATTTCAAAAAGTGGGGTGCCAACTTCATACACTCCTCTCCCACCCTTTAGGGAAAGAAAACAGTATTTTTATAAAGGGATCGACGTTTTCGTTTACTACCTACCTTATATTTATGATATGTAAATTTTTTCCCATGTTATAATATACCAACTTCAGAAAAAATTTCATCGTCACCATTGACGCGTCCGATTACGCCTATTGTTTATCAAATTTAATTTTATTGTTTACCAAATTTAAATAAACAATATTTGGTTTAAATAAAGAGAATTTAGATTTAAATAAATATATTAATGGCATCTATCAAAGAAATATTTGTTGATTTTAAGGTAATTTTTCCCTCAGTGTAGAGCAAGATGGAACTTCACTATTTAGCCACTTTAACATTTTTAAAACTGCACAACGTATGCAGATATATGCACATCTGATGAGACTCTTAAGATTCTTTCAATAATAAATTGATTATTTTTCTTTAATTTTTATATAATTTTGATTTCGCAATATTTAGCATTTCTGAAGTGTTTCCTTAGTGTTCAATGAAAAAAAAATTATAAAACTATTCTGTAGTGTCTTAACTATAGTGTAAAAAAGTTATAAAACTGTTTAGTAAAAAAATTATAAAATTATACTATGATACAAGTAATTAAACAATTGGAACAAGATCGTCACTATTAAAAGTGACTTATTTCGACTACTTTAAATAATTGGACTTTAAGTAAAGTAACTTTTCCACGACTTTTATAAGCCGTAGTTTCGAGATGGATAAAAATGCTACCATCGTATTCAATAATCCAAAAAGCATATGACATGAGTATTACATGTGTATAACTTATGTTATACTTTTCAAAATCGGCTCATTTTATTCACTGTGCTCTGCTCGAAAAAATTTAGGAAAAAATGTACGACAAAGCTTTCATATCAAAACTTAACAGAGATAATTTTCAAAGTTGTTAGATACTCGACCTACCAAATCGCCGCCAGAAGTTGTTGAACGTGAGAATGTGACACGAATCTCTTCTGCTTGTACTGTATAGCTTGTTCTAATCGAGCTAACTGTTTGCTGAGTTCGGCGTTTTCCTCCTCAGGATCATAATTTAGAATAGTGTCCAACTCCGTGGTAGTCCGCACGTGTTGCAACAGGTCTACAGCAAATCTATTTGGGATGATTGTGATTATCGGTAAAAAAATGCGAAAATAAGATTTGCAGTGAACTTCTGTTGAACAAAGTTTCTCTCGCGACGACTTACTTCTCCACTTGCCGTCGCAGTTTCAAGTACTCAGCTCTGCTCTCAGGTTCTGATATTGCCAACTCCCTGAGCTCCCAGCTCAGCTGGAAAGCCGTTATTAGAGGATCCGTGGAGCTCAAAGCTATTAAACTTGGACTAGCCAATGCCTTGTACTCGGAGATCCTGGTGGACGATAATCTCAATGGATCGCCTAAGAAATTTGATCTTACATTATCTCGATATTAGAGATGATCGAAGTACATTAAGCTTCCATAAAGTCTTCACTTTACGCATCTGGGCTGAATATATGTTATAAATTTCTTCAAGTGAAATCTTAATTAGAAGTGAAAATATGTTCGAAGCAATAGTTAAAATACTGCCATTCAGAAGCACAAAAATGAATTTATTTAATTGAAATCTGAAGTTAATTTTTAATCCTTACAATTTAGGAAGTCATTATAACGGCGCGGTAGTAATTTTGTGAAATACAACTATAATAATAATAATAATAATAATAATTTAAAAAACTAATAATTATCATTATTATAAATATTATTATTATAAATACTTAAAAATAATAATGATTATTATTATGCATCTTTTCTATAGAAAGAAAGAAAAGAAACTTAAAAAATATATGAAACAAAAATTTTTTAAATAAAAAAAAAAAATATAGAAATATATTTATATTATATAAATGTTTAATGTTAATAATTTACTTAAAACTTTATAAACATTTTGTTATAAATAATAAACATTTTATTTTGAGTGAGATTTTACTCTAAGAAATTTAAAAAGTATACTAAATACTTTTACTCATTAATTCATTCATTAATTTCTAATAAAATTATTACTCTACGATTCAGAGTGAAGGTATTCACTGTATACGATTGAAAAATCATTTAACTTCGAATAATTCCGTTACTATACTTTTTAAGTGGAATTTTGCAAAATGTAGAGAGTATAACTGTTGATTATGCGACTGATCTGTCATTTTGACGTATAAATATATCATATCATGTACAACATTATATCTAGACACAATTAAGACACAATTAAGTTAGCAAACTATTAGGATAGTTGGTGAGTTTTAGCTTACTAAATATTAAAGCGTTATTGAAGCTGAGTATACAACGACAACGGTAAATGGTTTTCTTTGAAAGGAAATTAGATTCGTCGGCATCGCTCTCTTACCGGTGGCTGCCTGAAGACAATCCTCGCAACCGCACCTCACGTCGTGCGGCATCGGCAGGGTGGCTCCCCTGTCGAGCAGAAGCTTCAGAATCTCATAATTGTTGCGTTGCGCCGCGAGCATCAAGGGTGTCATGTCCATCGGATATCTAGCCGATGCCGCGTCTACCTTCTGCCAGCTGTGTATGATCTCCTTTTCCGCTACGAGTTGAAAGTGTGATGGAATTAGGGGCGGAATCTTATTGTTTTGAGAAATTAACTATTAAAATCAAATAATTTCTGATGAATATATAAGATGTTTGATAACTCACAGAGGAACCACGATAAAGGGTAAATTAGGTCAAACTGAACAAAAAGTCCTCTACCATTTTGCAAATAATCATGTTTAGTTAATGAATGTTAGTTATGTTTAGTATATGAATGTTAATCATGTTTAGTAAATGAATGTTAATTATTATTAATTAAAGAAGATTAGGATTAGTTGTGCGCAATAATGCACAAATCTTCTTTAATTAATAATTAATATCTACGTGGTCATTTGCAAAATGGTAAAGAAATTTTTTGTTCAGTTTGACTTTATCTACTTATTCTCCGTGAATTACCGGACACTTTGTATCTGTAATTGTTTCTAATTCTTTTAGACTTGATTTTTGAAATATCATTATTGTAACGACAATTGGATACATTCATTATAGAAGGGTTCAGTAGAGTTGAAGTGGTTACTATAAAAAATTATTCAACGATTCTCTTAAAATTTAACTTGTTTCTTATCCTCCACGTATGCCATTTAATACACTTTTAATAATAGTTAAAGTTAAAATTTCGATTTTCGTTTTTAAGTTACTACCTATTTCATTTTTGTTAAGAGGAAACTAATAATTAAAAAATCCCTGTGTAGGATAAATTACAAAAATCTTCAAATCTTATTTTATTTTGCAGTAGCCACCTTCAGAGTTATTTCTACCTTCGAGCACTTCTATAATCAACAATGAATCGATTGGATTCAAAATTTAAAGTATCATTAAAAACAAATAAAAGATTTATTTTCAAATAAAAAGAATATATTTCATATTAAATATATATATTTCATATATATTTCATATTATTACTAGTTTTTGTTAAAAAATTCCGTAAATGTTCTCTATCCTTAACCGGTCCAAACGTTTTCTTTGATTCAATAAAATCAATAGAAATTGTATTTAATTTTATTTAATTCAATTGTATTTATTTTTAGAGCATATTAGATATAATTCAAAGCAACGCAAAAATTTCACGAGTGGCAAATGCGCACTATTATTTTCATCGGTTTTGACTCACAATTCTGTTCATTCACTTGACTCGCAGTAAGAAGTTCTTCGTGCTCCAACAGCAGCTCGACCGCCTCCACAAATTCTTGATCAATGGCGTGGAGCAGGGCGTCCTTGGTCTCAACTCCCATCACGACCAGCAACTCGACCATTTCCAAATTCTCCGATTCTATCGCCAATGTCAAGGCACCACGACCCAGACTGTCCACGCAATTCACGTCCAGCGGTTTTCCCTGAAACGATAAGACCCCATCACTAGCAGCGATCATCGCACCCCAATCTTGCGAAATTGGTTCCAACAATTTTTATCTTCGTGTCGTTCCCAGAATTTTGTCGTTGATGTGCACTCGCGTTTAAACGCTAATTTAAATCTGAAAAAGAGATGCGTTATCGATTTAAACGAGTTCTTCTTATTCTAGCCGTTTTCTAAAAAAAAAATGATTGTCGACAAAATTCTCCAAAATGTACGGCGAATGTTCGCGCGAACTACGAATATAGGGCCAATATAAAAATGTCGAGTCAATATAAAAATCCATCCAGAAAGGAAAAAATAATCGTGATGTTCATACTAATGCTGTCAATATAATCTGAGTACACGGAGTCGAACAATTTTTTTCGATGGAATCATATGTTTTTCTTTATACAGGGTGTCTCACACTCTCCTCCGGGCATTTTGTGGGGACGTTGGAATAGGTTGAGGTGAACATAAAAGTCCTATACCATTTTGCGATATTCGCAATAATTATCGAGATATTAATTGTAGAAAATTTGTAAATGATCATGCAGAATATGATAAATGAGTTATAATAGCGACGACTGCCGTCGTGTACTTATACTTTAGGTCAAATTGAACAAAAAAGTCCTCTATCATTTTTCAAATAATCACATAGATTTTTAATTATTAATTAAAGAAGATTATTGCACGATTTTGCGTGATAATGCACTCATCTTCTTTAATTAATAATTAAAAATCTATGTGATTATTTGCAAAATGGTAGAGGACTTTTTTGTACAATTTGACCTAAAGTATAAGTACACGACGGCAGTCGT